CACTTGAAGGTTTCTCGTGGTGTTTTACCTGGTCCCTTAGGTTTTTTACTTAGGCTGGCGTGTGGCACCTTTCAGTTCCGCATGCATATCCATAAGTGTGTCTGGCTTCATGCCAGCCCGGGATGAGCCCGCAGAGTGCCTCCCGTGGACCCGTCGAACGGGTGTTTGTCGACCGTATCCCCTGCCTGGATACAAAGCTGCTCACAGCGAGCGTAGGTGGCCTAGGCCGAGAGAACTCCGATTCATGTCTCATTTTTGGAATTCCAAGCTGGCTCATGCCTTTACGTGACCGCAGCGGTCAAAGGTGGCAGCCTTCGGGCAGGCCGTACGTGGTCGCAGCGACCAAAGCTTGTTCAAGGTTCATTGGAACCTGCCCCGTTCTTAGGTGCACACACACAGCGTGTACATGCAAACGAGGCGAGGTCTTCCTAGGTGTTTCTAATGAGGTTCGGCTTCATTGGTTCTCGTCCCCTCCATTTGGTTCCCTTTTCATCCTTTTCCCCCTTTTACACACCTTGTGTTTCCTCTTTTCTTTCATGTCCTCCTGTTATTATCACTATTATTTTTTTAACGTTAACAATATTATTCTTTCTTTGCATTTCTCGAGCAATTAAATTTCTTAATTGTTGTTCCATATCATTTTGTAAGTCATTGATTGCATCTGTATTCCATTCTGCAGTACTTTGAGATCGATATAGAAGTCCTTTTGAGGTAGTGACTTCATGTCTGGTCATCTCATCCTTTTCTTCGTTTGCGCGCACATTGGTCCCGGCCTTAGTGTGTACGTGCACATTTACATTCACTTCAGGTTTTAGGTCGCCCAGGTCGTTACAATGAGGTGGAGTTCATTGGTTGTCCCTGTGCACTTGGTTTCTCTTTCATTGCAACCACACACCTTTTTGTCCCGTCTTGTCCTCCTTCTCATGTCTTCGTTCTTTTGTCTTTGCTGCGCGCACATTCACACAACCGTCCTGACCATAATTCTCTTCGCCTCCCCTCGGGGAGGCGTGTGTGTGTGTGTGCCCCTTGTGTGTGCCCCTTGTAGTCACAGGGATTCTTTTGAATTTGACCAGGATTGTTTTGTTTCAAGCAGGGGAGCAGGGGGACTGGAGCCGATTTGCCTATCCAGTCCAACGAAGCTATGGCATTTCGGTGGATGAGTGGTCTGATCAACTTAGGCTGGCGTGTGGCACCGCTTTCAGTTCCGTACGCATATCCATAAGTGTGTGTGTGTGTTTTCCAGGCGTTCTCTGAAGCAGATCCTGCGTCTCTGGCGACTTTCTGCTTGAGGAAAGTGACCTCCTCAATGCTTCGAAGAAGCTTACCAATCTGGAAGCTTACCAATTGAAGCCAAGCCGTGGAGCATTCTGAAGCTCCACAGGATTCCCTTTCCATCCCCGTTTTGTCCACCTGGGCGTCCAGACCAGTCTGCCCTGATCATGGTAGGCCAGGTACGCGTGAAAACCCACCTGAAACCGAACACCAGGCACCGTCTTGGCCTCGAGACCTCTTTTGAGAGACAGGACAGGACATCTACGTATATCTAATATATATATATATACCTAGAACCTGAATGACCTTTATTTTGGACCACCAACCACTCAAAATAAGGTCCAACTTCCTATCAAAACAGAAGTCAAATGGGTTCTAGGTATATATATATACAGTATACAGTATATCGATTCTGAGACAGGCTGACTTAGGGTAACAAGTTCGTGTGGTCCATCGTTTTGCTGAAAATCCACTCAAGACCAAGTTATGACAAAGGGAAAAGAAACAAAGTCTAGAGCAGCCAAGATCAGCTACCGGTTGTTCCTCCACTTTTGTCCGTCCGAGGTCGCAGCGTATACAGCTATGACAGAATAGCCCATCATCGCAACCTGCGAAGAAGGCGTTTCGCTCCAAATGAAAGAGGCGACGACAAGGCCTTGACTCACCTTGACCGCCAAAACCTGTAAACCTTTGTTCGAGTCGAGCCTTACTGGCTTCTGCACAGGTGGTTGACCACCAGTCGCAAACCCAATCACCTGCACGACACGTCCAGCAGGACAGGTCAAAGCATGCCGAATTGCCAGACACTATAGGTACTGCTAGCAAGAGACATTGACACTCAGCTCGGTATACCTCAAGCTAAGCTGACCTCTCAAAACACTGGAACCGAAGAGTACTACGTTTTTTGCACATCAGAAAACATCCAGAGTCGCTCTGCAATCTTGGAAGTGGAACATCAAATAGAGTCGCTTCTTAGTGGAAACAATCTCAACGTCAACTGGGTTTGGTGTCTCGGGAGGCCAGTTGATTCTCACCATGCCCAACTGTCCCTTTCAAATCGCCTCTGCCATACGTGCTGAAAACCTGAAAAAAAGAAAAACACCCGCTTGAAAACACCGAGCTGCTCAAGCGGTCCAGGATGAAAAGGGCCAATCCCAAAAGACCTGGGACGGGACGGAGGTGGTTGGCTTGGCCGCCGTCGTGTCGATTTCGAAGGCGTGGCATGCAGCGGCGGCCTCCGCGGCCTTCCAAGTCTGGACGGGTGGGGTTGTTGAAGTGAATAAACCAGCAAACGGTTGAGACAAATGAGGACACGATGGTTTTGTGATGCCATCGTTGGGAAGAACGGGTCCGCATCTGGAGCTGCTAAAGGAGGCTCTGAAGGCTGCTAACAGGAGCATATGATTCTCGCAAAGACTTCCGGTCGCCAATTGGAAGTGAGCTGTGATGCTTATCCGCATTGCCCAAAGAGCTCTTCAGCATGACCCTGACGTGCTGCTGAGGCACACCAGCTGGCGAAGCTCACCAAAACCTGGAAGGACCCAGCTGGTGCTGGCTGTTTGGGGCGTCCCACCCAGCTGGGCGTGACGCATGCCCTACTTTTGCAAGACTTCACTCAACTCAACAACTAACAACCTCCATCCGAGCCAAGTAATCACTCAAAACTCGTTTTTTCTCGTCCCGACCAGTTCTTTAGACTAATGTGAGGACCAGAAGATGAGACACAAAAGACAACTGACGCGTGCCTCGCATTCTCGGCTCTTTCTCAACTCAAACAAGTTTGCCATCGACCAGTCACGGTGGCGAACCGAATGGCCGCAAGTCACGTTCGAATTATCCACCTCGCCAGTGTCAAGACGCCCTGTTCGACGAAAAACGACCGTGTTTTTTCACGTCCTCGGAAAACACGTCCGACAGAAAATCCCCTTTGTCGTGCCTTTTCCAATCGCCTTGAATTCTCTTCGGCATATCGCCCATGAAGGCTCTTCAGGTTCTCGAGAATCTCCTTCCATGTGTCCTTCCGGGTCTCATCAGACCTCCAGACGACCAATCCGAGGGCTCGGACGCAGCCCCGGAGAACTCAGCTTGCCACCCAGCCGAAAGGAACATACCAAAGCCCCCGTTTCGGAGGGTCTATCACTGCCATAGCCTAGAGGTTATAATAGTTGTGTCCATTAACCACCCCTTAGATCCCCTTAAGGGGGCTCTGGTAGGTATGCATAGGGTTTAATAGCGATCAAAATCCAACGTTTCACGCCCACGACCGTCGGGCCACAGGCCGTGCATGGCCATGGTATGCCCCAACGACACTCGTGCCATCACGTGTGTAGACGATAGTGTAGAGTCTTGATCCAAAAACACAGTTTGGATTGCAATAGCTTCAAAAAACATGTTATTCTTTTTTGAAGACAAAATAAATCAATTGAGTCTACGTTTGACGCTGAGTCGGTCGCTGCGTTCCTTTTGTACCCGGAACCGGGAACCTTCGTTCGTATCCCCCAAAACACAACGGATTGGCGCCCATTTTTTGCTCAAAACCACGCCCGCGAGGCTTGCTTGGCCCCACGAAACACAACGGGCCCTCCCCCCGAACCTGTCAGCTTTACTGCTCCTTCTCTCTCCCCACGAAACACCGCGTGAGGGACGGGTCGAGACCGTTCTCCGACCGCCACCAAAAGCGCCCACTTCGCTGATCGAATTCGAGAGACCATGAGAGATTCCTGTGTTGAGCAGCTGTTTCAAAGGAGTTGAACAGCAACCATAAATATACTGTAACATCCTCCTGTGAATTCCACCTGACCCCCAAGGGTGGTCATTTTATAGGATATAAAAGACCCCTAGGGTGCCATGGTATACAGAAGAAATTCACTGGACTATCTGTAACAATCACACCAACATGTAAGTCTTATTAGACACACGGTTGTGGATTCGTCACCGCAAGACAATTCTGCTCACCTCCCAGCCAAGCCGAGGACAAAAAGATTGCAGCTGTGCTGAGCGCCCCAGCCCAAAAATGGTCACAGATTTGAAGTCATCCTGCCATCTACAGCCCATCCACTTTGTGTTGTCTGGTTGGACCGTCATGGCATGAAAGGGTGCGTGCCATGGGAGGATGAAGAAAGCACGTTCCACGTGATGTTTGGATCCTTTTCGGGGTTGTTCCTCAATGCAAACACATGATTCTCTGGGTGACATCAAAAAAGAGTCTGTAATCTTTGGGGATTTTTCTTTTTTTTTTTCTTCTTCTTCGTTCTCTGCATGCATCGAAGGTGGTGGCTGCTACCTCGATGCATGATCTTTTCACATACTTCCTTCTCAAGATCCAGAAATTGAAACCCGAATTTACCCGTTTTTTATTGTGACAAGTGACAAAGAAGTAAGTGGTTGCGAATAGCGAATATGTAACTGCTTGGGTGCCTGGCTTCAATTGCATGTTTGTTGCATGGGTTTAAAGACTTACAAGTCAAACACGCAGCATTTGACTGATCACATGCAGGGTTTACCCGGTCGCCATGTTCGAGTCTGATCGGTCTCCGTGTTTGGGTTGTGAACCCTGGCCCCCCCCTGCGGTTCGCGAATTGATCCTCCAGTTGTTGAGTGATTGATCTGCTCAATTCTTCGAATTCTTCAGGTTTTATGCCTCGCAGGTGTCGACAGTGGCAGGACAGTGAAAGGGCTTGAAGCGATAGTCCACAAAACCACCGTTGTTTTGGACTACAAATCATTGACCCGGACCCAGTTGTAAATCTTGCATTGCTGCATAGACCATAGACATGACATGACATGGTGATTCCCGTTGATATTTAGGGTGAGGGGTCGGGGTCCCTATTTGGTAATAAAAATCACTACAAAATGTCAGCGGCCAACGTCCCATCTCAAAAAATGGACTCTTTTTGTAGGGAGGGGATAGGCCAGTTATACAAAATGGAGGGGGCCAAGGTCACTGATTGGTACAAAATGGGACGCGGTCTGGAAAGGCATTCGGTAGTGAAGATGAATGCGCATGAAAATCATCAACAAAAGTCAAGAATAGTCAAGGCATGTCAAGACTGTCTTTTTTGACGCGCTTTTGGACGCCTGTCAAATGGCTGTACTCCCCACGAAGCCTAGGCTTAATGGCTATACTTTGATAGGTGGCTGGCTGGCTGATTCCGCCGGATACTTCTACTGGCTACCTACCGGCTAACTCCGCTGGATACTTTAGGTGGCTGATTCCGCCAGCCGCCGGGTACTTTTGGTGGCTGGCTGGCTGATGCCTGGGATTGTGCCCCACACCAGCAGGTGCACCAGCCAGACCCAGTCACATCCACCAAGTTCCACCACATCCTGCCTATCAAAGATACCTCTCCGCCCTCCACCTTTGCCCTTTCAGCCCCCTGCCTAGGCTAGATCTGCGGACGCAGGATTGTTAGAATATCCATCCATCATGATTCCTTACAAAATGAAGGACCTCCCCTACCAAATAAGTACACCCAACCCACAAATCGTGCACTCTCTTTTCCCTACTGAATAAGTACACCCAACCCTCTTGCTGCCTACAAAATGCTGGCATCCCAACCACAGGGGTCGTGCGACCAAACCCCTTTACTACCAAATGTGCATTCTGTAGGAGGGTTAACCCCCACGATTCTGTAGGCTAAATACCATCACTGATACATGATGTGTGTTTTTTCTGCCGAGCCAACCTCCCAAAACGCGCGGATCACGGACCTCATGCAAGGCTATCAAGAAGCAATCGCAAAGGCTGACCGTTAAAGGCAACGATGATTTATGCGGAGTGTGGTCATCTGCCGAGTACCATGGCCAGTATGGCACCCCAAGCCCATTTACAACAGTGACCCCTCTACATCGTAACAAAATAACACAGTATATATACATGAAACAGTTGTGGTCATCTCATCTGTTCACTGCTTGAATCAAACGCCCCTCGCAATGCCTACCACCACATCAAAAAGGCCCGGCCTAGCGGCCTAGCAGAGGCCCTGCTAGGCCGTGAACTCGTGCACCCACAGGCCCAAAATAACATCAAATGAAGAACACCGTTCAACAGCAATCCTTATATAGTGCTCCATTCTCCTGAGCTGAATCACGGCCCCGCTTTCCCCACAAAAGATGGCATGGAGTCTGGCACCGAGGGCGCGAGGCACAGATCCTAAAAGTGCAACCAACCTCGGACTCAGGGGAATCCATACTTGACCCAAGCGACCAAGCTAGACACAGCCTGACTAGTTCAGATCCGACCAACTGCCATCTCACAAGTTCTCGTGAGAGAAGCCCTCAGAACCTGCACTAAACCCCCCAAAAGCGTAAAAACAATTGATGGTTGGATGGGTTTAGGCCATCTACTCTGTTCACTCACCGGTTCCCCGCCTCGAGGATGCCTCTGGGCTTCCTGGAGTCTTACAACCGGACTGGCGGGAGGGACCTGGGTGTCCAACTAGTAGCAAGGTGCATCGCTACTAGGAACAAGAAGCTACTAGTGGCTCCTGGCATTACTACTAGGAGCAAGGACGCTACTAGGAGCAAAGGGCATCGCTACTAGGAGCAAGAACGCTACTAGGGGCTCCTGGCCTTACTACTAGTAACAAGAAGCTCGTCCAGACGTGGATGGATTGGACATGATTGGACCGCCCTCCTCGGACGTGTTGCATCATGTTGCCTTATATGTGTCTGCCGATCCTTGTCATTCCTTCACATGTGACATGTGACAACCATCACAGAATTACATGTCTTCTTCCACACGTGGTTGTCACACCAGTGGCCGCACGTGTCATTGCTAAACGGCTGGGCATTGCATCACAAGGTCGAAGAACTGCACCGGTCGCTCGGGTGTTGCTGGGCTGGTGGTCAAGTGGCGCTTGGCTAGTGTTTCTACCTGGTAGGTTTACTCGGAATAAGCCCCCCCCCCAGGTGAGCTGCACACATGCAGTGGGACACAGGAGTTGCACAGGGTGTGTTTGCTTTCCATGTCGTCCAGTCCTGCAAGGTCTGCATGCTGAAACCCAGAGACGCGACCAGGCCTTTGGAGGTGTCAACCTCCGTAGCGATGGCCTCCAACCTACTAGCCACGAATGCCGCACACCGCACGGTCCATGCCGCACGAATAGCGCACCGCGTGGTCCATGCCGCTCGCTCCTCGTCCATCTTTTTCGTGAAGCTCTTCATCGCTTGCTCCTTCGCAAGCAGGACCTCGGAGCAGGCGCTTTCCGTGAGATGCACCAGGGTTTGCTTCCGCACAAGATGCGTCCAGGCTCTACCACCTAGATACGACCTTCCAATATCACATGATGTTGTTGGTTGGTGGACATCAACACTGGAGATGTGCATCCTGAAGCTGTGAGGACACAAAAAAAGACGAAAAATAGACACCCCAAATGGAAGACACAAAAAAGAAGCCAACCACCCAACGGACGGTTTCATCATGTTTCATCCCTGTCTTCATAGCTTGACCCCATGCGAGGCCCCCGGGCCGTGCAGTTGGTCATGGCTTGGGTGAAGGACATGGCCGCCGGAGCGGCCTCGTGGAAGGCGCTCACCTGCGAAAAGGGGCTCCACTCCAGTAGCGATGGCCTCCACCCTACTAGCGATAGGCTAAATATGTCGAAACACCAGGAAACCAAAGAAAGACTCCAAACCAGTCGGCATTTATCCATCCTGGCTATCTTAAACTCATCTGGACTTAGACCTCTCTGGAACACCACCCTTAGTGATGAAACCGGCTCGGAGAAGCAGTCTAAGACTCCAAGACCTACTGTACGTTTGTCTTTCAGATGAACCTTATTGCAGGAAGCTACAGAAATGCCGTCTTCCTGTGACGTTCTTCTGAGGTGAGAACGAAATCGCGCAGCACCAGCGGAAAACTCATTGTACCTGCCAGGATCAGCATACAAACCATGACCCGATCAGCATACCAAACCCCATCAACCCCATGGAGCCCGGCCATGCACATGAAATCAATGATTGCAGAATCGATCCCGCAGGACTCACCATGGAAATCCCCCGCAATTGAAGCAAAAATCCTGTCGGACACCATGAATGATGCAGGACACTCCGTTTAAACATCACGCGGGACTCACGGACTCACCCCACGGCCGAGCATGCTCGAGCTCACCCCATGGACCCTTTGGCCAAACTTAGTCTCAAAGTTTCAAAGATGGCTCAATTGCTGCTCCTACCTACCTAGTACCTGCTTGCGCATCAAAGCTTCCACCGAACTCGACCTGAGCAAACGACCGCGCGCGAAGAGGCCCCCCGGCGCACTCAACTCAGAGCCCAAGATCTTCTTGGTGCTCAAACCTGCCCGAGGCGTACGCGTACGCAGCGGACAGGCCGCAGGACGGCGGCCGCGGGACCAGCGCTTTCTTTGTTTTCTTTTGCGGCCATGTTTTGGGTCATGGTAAAGAGGCGCGGGACAGGCGTGGCACGGTCTGTGATGGCGGTGTGACATTCAGCTGGATGCTTCTTGACCAGTCAGCTCTAGCACAGCTCTAGCCTGAAGGTGATGTACTCTCTAAGTTTAAGTTTCAGCATCATGCGACTCAGATTTTGAAGCGGGCTTTCTGTTTGCCCATGATCCCTCCAAGCACAGCAGCTGCACCAGTTCACCACCAAATCAGTGTTTAGATCTGTAGCAAGCTGCCTAGCTGCTTCCTTTCAGCAGGTTTGCTCTACTTTCAGCAGTTTTGCTCTCCAACATCTTCAGCCTTCTGTCAAACAGTCTTGATGTGATATCTTCTGCTGGTTTCCCAAATCTGCTCATGCGTAAAAACCAACACGACCCCGCCTGTGGAAAACACGTCCCTCACGTAGAGATCCATGAAGCGAATGAAGTCTTTGTTAATGTCCGAGACCTAAGGAAACTACGACGTCTCGATGAAGTCAGCTCAGCTCAAGCGGTCAGTGGTCAGAGGTTTCATCGCCCAAGGTCAATGCCTTCTGAGAATCCAATACATCCTGCCTGCTTGGGACCGGATCTATGTCTTAGTACAAAAGGTAATGCTTGGCATGAGAATCTCGTGAGATGTTTGCCTCACTTGACGGCGTCATCGCATCCAGATCTGGTTCAACCATCAAGCACACTCCTGATGCACCAAAAAGCCCCTGACATTGCCAGACCAGGTATCTTTTTCGATGATCAAGCCCGGATGTGGCCTCGGAGGATGCAAAATCCAACCAAACATGACCCCATCTCAAACTGGTTCTGACATGTTCTGACACCACACATTGCGTGCTTCGGCTGCTTGCTCAGGCTTTCTTAGGCTGCTTGAGTAGACTTCACCAGTGGATTCCAACGAGTTCGAGGTCCGAGGAGACCGGCCGACACGACGAACGAACATGACTATCCACTCATCCACTCACTTAGCCTCTAAGAAGCAAGTTGCCAAGAATCACCACAGTTTGCCGTTTGCTTCCACCTTTTTGGATCTTTCTTGGGGGATAGACCGGGGATAGAGGCTGATGCAGAGCCCGATCCCCGCGCGTTTCGCGCGAGCGCCGCGAGCGGCAAGCAGAAGCAGTTCAAGCGCTTGAACATGGCATGCAAAGCCTCCAAAGGGCTCAAGCGACTGTGCTTCTAGAGATTCTGACTCATTAAGGCTAGGTTGGAGGCTATTGCTAGTAGGTTGGAGGCCATCACTATTAGAAACAAACATAAAATTAAGGCATCCTTGGATTGCTCGGGGCAAAAGCAAGAACCTCACCATTCATATGACAAACATGTGCAACTACTGGGATTCGGAATCCTCAGGCTTACATTTTGGCAACTGCCCTTGAAAAGAGGTGGTCAGAGAGTTCTTGCCTCGGCAGTACTGTTCTCCACCATCTTCTGAGGATTCACATGTCTTGACAAGTGCCTCAGCACCGATCGCCGAGGCAATGTCTGAACCCTTTTTTCAGGTCTCGAAGGTGTGGATGTCTTCGCATCTGGACCCTTATCGATTCAGTCGATGATGCAAAGCTCAAAGCATTGAGTCTTGAGCATTTCGATAGCATTTGGCTATCACATCACAAGCTTTGGCTGCAATCCCTGCTTTGACCATTTCTGTGACCGTGTCTGAGGCCAACGACTGCTGCATTTGATCCTTGCACTGCTCCACAGTCCAGTCATCCCTGTCCCAGAGTGTCTCTTGGAGCGACAGGCAAAGAAGCTGGTGGAATCGTGGAAGAATCCAAGTCTCATCCAGCGTGCAAGCTCACCAAACATGGAGCTTCTGATCAGAATCCTAGAGTAAAACCATGTTTGGTCAAAACCAGCACAGGGTGAACTGGGAGAGGCTTCTTTGGAACAGTTCAGGTGAAGGAATCGCCAAATAAGCAGCCCTTTGCCTGGAAAGGCCGTCGAGGTATGCGGCATATGGCCATATGGTCTGGCTGTGTCTTAAGAAATGGGATGACTAGCGCTTGTTTAAAGACTTTGGTCACCTTGCTTTGAGACGTTTTGAGACGACTGCTCGTTACCACCTGAAAGTCACCTTGCGATGCTTTCATGGCCTCCCGCAGTGTCAGTTATATAGCTACTAAGACAAGATCTCCTGAATAAAAGCAAGTGGCTTGGACCTTGGTCAAAATCATCTCCTTTCAACAGACATCATCCAACTGTGTCATTTGTCCACCATCTCCAAACAACCTCCAACGACCTCCGCCACCGAACATCCCGGACGGCAGCGACGCGACCGCCCGGGGTGGCCCCCGGGCCGGAAGTGTCGCCAATCCCGGACGAGGAAATCCAGCGATTGGAAGGGTCGATCGATGTCGTCCTGGGTTCTTCGGTGGATTTGGATGGAAAAGATGCTCTGAATACGTCCTGGGTTTTCCTCCAACCTAGTACCAGTAGCTTCTTGTTGCTAGCAGCGATCAAAGACATACAAAAAGCTTCTTGTTACAACAGGTGAAACGATTCCCAGTGAAACGATTCCCAAGGAAGCTTCGGTCGCTACGTTCGTAGCTTCTTGTTCCCAATTACAAGAGGCCAGAGTGTAGGGTCCAAAACAGGGTGCAGTCATTGTATTTTTGATGAGCAAGTGCAGCAAGCGGAGGAACATGGGGTGTGCCAGCCGTCCAAATACAAACCAGGTCGTCATCCGTGACCAGCTGGCCCAAGACCAAAGCAACTCCTTCACAATTTGGTCAGCTCAAGCTGAGAAGAAGGGAAGGTCTCAAAGAAGTCCCTCTTGTCGTCCAAATCTGTTTAATTTTTCATGAGCCAAAAAAGGCTCAAAAAAAAGAAACAAAACAACTCCCATCAACTCCCCAACTAAGATTTATGGCTTTACAAACTCAAAGGCTTCAATTCCTAACCTTTCCTGTTGGAATCCACCAATGACCCCTTGGCTGCTGTGCATGAGCCATCCACAACGTGTTGAAGCCAATGCCACACACCACATGTCCACCAAAGGATACAAAGGTGTTCAGTAGCCCATTCATCTGATTATGTCTCATTCCCCATTTTTCTGCTGGTAGAGATATTCTATAGCGCAGGTCATCGGCACAGGTCCTACACGTTTCCAGTGGGCTCAACCGCGCTCGGCTGTTCAAAGCTCTGAGCTCCATACCCGGCTTGGCCCCTGGCCTGAAGACAGCGCTTGGCATTTGGCGAATGGAGCAAGTCTACAGGCAAGTTACGATGTATCAGTATCATACAACTTTGCAGGGTGTTCTCCGCTAAGCTGATGTCACTGATGTCACTGGAATGGTCAAACAGGTCACCTGCTCAACATGTTCAACATGACTGGTGGTGCTCTCTTCGAAACCTCTTTGGGCACCTCAACAACCCCCACCCACCCGCAGAAAACTGAAGAACCAAAAAAGACAAACACCTTTCATTATTGTTTGGCTTCTTTGGTGTTTTCTTTCACCCACCATTTTCACCCTGTTCTCCAACCCTCCGGCCTTGCCGCTCCATCTCGGCGGCCGCCTTGTTGAGGGCCGCCTGGGCGAAGCGCATGAAGTACGCGAGGTTCTCCACCTCGGCTCGACAGGACGCGACACGGGACGCGGCGCGACGCGGCGCTCCGACGCTGTTCGTGTCCGAACCACTCACAACGACCATTATGTGAGGTGGCTTCGAGGAGCGAGGGAGTTTTTAACGCGTTCGACGACGAATCAAACTACTGCAAGACCCAACAAAACATAGCAGCTGGGGATGGGAGTCCACGGTACATCTTGGCCTGGTTTGACCTTCAAACAATCCACCTCGAACCTGAGTGTAGTGTGGAAGGACAGGTCTGCAGGTTTCCTCGAACAAAGTCTAGACACTAGAGTCTAGAGACTCTAGAGACCATTTGAAGGTCGCAAACTCTACATGTAAACTCACTGCAGCTAGATGCCCCCTTTTGGAGCCTTGTCCTTTAGCAGGAGTCCTGCCTTGTCTTCCTGGATCTGCATGTTGATGTTGTAGATCCTTCAGAAAAAACAGGTAGGGCATGTGTGCCAATTGTCTGAGTAATAACCCCGCTTGTTTCAGCAAGCAAAGATTAGAACGACCGGCCATCCAAGCAAACTGCCAACTCACCACACTTCAGTGTGTTTTTTTGGAGAGGAACTTGCTATCCTAGTAGAATGGAGACAAAGAGGAATGCTTCAAGAGCTGCTAAAACACATGCGGCTCAGGGATGCGACGCATTTCTCTGAAAAGGACTCTGATCAAAAAAACATGAGGTCTTGTCCGACGAGCCAAAAAATGCCTGACTCATGAATCTTGTGACCCCTCTCAAAAGGGAGAATAACATCAGTTGCCAATGGCCATTCTCTTGTTTCTGCGGCGTTCCAGCACGATGTTTCTGAAATTACAACATCCACATCTAGGTTGACCCATGGTGCAGCCACTGATACTTGGAGGATCTTGGATGGATGGCATGAAGTACTTCAGAGTCCAAACGAAGCAAGTATATAATTGGGCATGTTTTCTTATACCCGTATATAATCTGATCACTGGCGGTTCTGATCACGGGCAGCTTTCGCTGTTTGCGCAAGCAAGGGTCTGTTTGGAAGAAAGCACGGCCGTGAGTCCAAAGATGGTGGCAGATTGCTCCTGCGGACGGCGCCGCTCGCTCAGGAAGCGGTTTTCCGCGGACGGCGCATCTGCGGAAAGAGGAAAGGCAGATTCTCAGCAGTGCAAAGTATCTGGGACCGTCCAAGAATTGGGTTTTGTTCATGGTAGAGGGGTATTTGGTCGAATGAGTCCCTCAGAAGGCCTTTGTTAAAGATCCACACATTTCGCCCATGTGTCACCGTGCTTTTGCGCATCTTCCCAAGAATCTTGGAAAAAAAAACATAGAAAACCGCGTACAAAAGCAAGGCAAAAAACATTTAAAAGAAAACATGGAGATCATGGAAGGACCATCCCACGACACCGTTTTTTGGGGGATGCAACGAAGACCGGCAAAAAGGTCGCCAAAGCTCCCCACAAACAAAGACCTCCCATCTTTCTGGCCAGGGGTTTGAGTCTTCATGGAAACTCAGACCTATCAATAAATACGCAGCGTGAGCATCTAAATTTTGACAAACCAAAAATATTTAGATTCTAAATATCTTTGGTTTGTCCAACTTGTTGGCTCTTGAAAACACCATTTGTAGTGCTTGCAAAAGAACACACCTACCCTCAATCACCTTTCCCTGAGACAGGACAACACTCGAAAATACTGCTGTGAAAACCCCATGAAGCCCTACAGTACACAACTTAGCAGCACCAAAGTATGACTAAACGACATACAATCCACAAAAGGGAAGAACGCAAACGACTCATACTGCAACAAGAGCTTCAAAGCATGCCACCACTCCCATGTCAAGCAGCTACAAAGGGTGGATGAGTTAGATTCAAAGTGCTTAAATCATGGATTTGTTCTTCTTGTCTTGATCCTGCCTGAAGCTCTCCCTTTTTTTGCGCGAGTGATGGTAAATTCAATGAGCTTCCGATTCACAGATTCCTTGCAGAGCGCAACTATCCCTGATGCTCACTTTTCGGCCCTGAGTCCATGTCTCTTGCATAACTCAGAGAGTAGTAGGATGAGGGGGCTTACCAAGCCCCAGCCCATCTCACCATTTTGCGCCTCACGTTTTCATACAACCTGTAAATGCTTCTCTACAAAGCTTAAGCCTTAATCAATGAATAAAATCTGCCTGCCACGCTGCTGACCGGTTCCGGCGGTCAATATGTTCAGCCCACACAAGGCCCATGTGCCAAACACCAGTGCAGAAGCCCCAATAGCACCAAAGAAGGCAAATGCAGCCATACCGCCCAAGTGTCTGCCAACCACTTGTTTTCCTTCATCACCAAGACACATTGACTTCACACCGTATCGGGCCCAAACTGCGAAATGCTGACAATTGTTGTTGATGACATCATAACCTCCAAATGACGAGTCGAGCTGACTCAATGCCCTCTCAATCGTTTCCTGCCCACTATAAGGAGCTCCATAGTGCGAAGAATCTATTTCAAAAGCATACCAATCCGTGGAAGGCTTCATTGGGGTAATCCAAATGTTTTGACCACCTTTGCCCTTCACCAAGCGCCCCGCTGGAATTGACTGGGGCATCCCACTGAAACGTGTAGGGCCACTGTATTCGATGACGTAGTGCTTGTCTGGATCCAAATCGGATTGGCCAGTCATTTCTTTCAAGTATGAATTGCCTGGGCCAACGTGGATTCCGAGATGAAGGAACTCAAAGGGTACGTCGAGTTGATAACCCACCAAAGATCCAAGTGGCAAAGGATCTCCCTCAACATATGGCGCCATTGCCTGGAGAGGATTCAGTAATCTGATCCCGTGATTTCTGCCGGACCAACCAGGAAGCGCAATGGCCTGGCTGTGCGCAAACCTTCTTGAGAGCCCCACAAATGCCATGGCCTGTGGTGCCAATCCCACAGCTAGCGCTACCAGGAGTAGCAGCAAGCGCTTGATGAGAAATGCCATGGGAATGCGGAAGATGACCGACGGACCTAAGAGCTAGAGCCTGCGGTGGCCAATGGAAAATCATATTATCAACAAAGGACACAGGGGTCGCAAGTGAACAAACATCCATTGGTGTGATCGGTGCACATCATGCTCGAGCATGGTACCATCAGCAAAACCAACATTTCTTAGAAGCTAAGGCCCGCAAATTGCAAAAGATATTGTATGATACGATGATGGTCTTCCCCTTTGCTATTGCCACACCCTGAACTCACGACCACAATTAACAATCTTCAGTGGTCTCTCTCAGCTCGAGTAGAAGCATCTGAGTCACCACACGCTCGATGCTCTGATGATCTCTGATGTGTTGATTGTTTTTCTGTTTGGAGCTTCTCTCACTCTGAACCTATTCTGGATGAACAGTTGGCATCCTTCAAGTACTCAACAGTCGTAAAGAAGCAGAACCAAAAGCAGGATCGCCATGGATCTAAAAAAACGCATCACCTATAGGTCCGAGGTGTTACCCCTCCCGCAAACTAAGATGGAACCTGAGAATTGACCGGTGGTTTCGGCCATTGTCCTCTACAATTTAGTGGTTTTAGTTTTGGGGCTCCATGTGGTCTACTGCAGGGGAGCATCAAATGGATGTTTATGTGACTGGCTCTTTGGGGTGAACATCTGCAACATCTACTCCATGCACACCAGCTGAACATCGAAATTTCATGTGCAGCTGAATGTTGGGTTTCTAATCTTTGACACAACATCCATGGCAGACTATTGTACCATCCCAGTTGCAGTGCAGAAAAAGATGCAGTGAAAAACTTGTGTTTCTGATGTAGCTTCAAGGCTTCAAGGTAGCACAAGGTCTTTCAGTGCCTCTCTCCCCCTTGACCAAAATGCACTGACTTAGCTCTTGGTCTTTGGAAGACTTTGCTTAAGCCCGTCACCTGCACGGCCTTCAAATCGTTGAACCACCACGGCCATACATGCTGATGTCTCAACAAGACAAAAACAAAAAAACTTCTCAAAACGAAAGTAGCTGCGGGCCGGCAGATCCTCTTGAGTACAGAACCATCTAGACCAAAGTGAGTCTGGAAACCAACTATGTTGACCCCCTTGACCTATTTCCAGCCAACCATTTCGGATGGTCCACACATGCCATTCATAACCTCAGTCCGAAACTTGCTGCGAAACAACTCAGCAACCAACCGGAGGCTCAGTACGGCTTCCCCCAGCCGACCTTGGTCATGTTGCTATCCCAGGCTCCCTGGCATTACGGAGAAAGCCGAGGTCCCGACAGTAGGCTTGTATGCACAGACTCTACTTGGAGGAAGTGCATGGGTATATCTACACATGTGTAGCTTGTTTCTATACAAACAAACATGAATTGACAGACTAATTCGTCATTATCAAGGCTTTGTTTTGTGCAAAGCTGCCTGAATTAATCTATCAGCTCTTCCTAGCTGCATGAATACACCTAAGACCTAAGACTATATGAAGGGCAAAGCAAAATGGCATCTATTCACTTTGTGTATCTTTGTCGTGTACTGCTAGCATCTGACTTCGGCATGATCAGCTTCTGTCGGCTCTCCCCCACACAAAGCGCCACGCGTCTCGTGCGCTCGCCTGGGTATCCATGAGCAGCACCGCCACCTCTCTATCCTCGATCTTCCGCATGAAGGGCTCGGACCTGAGGATCAACAGGGCACGAAAGGACACGAAGGGAAGAAAAAAAAAAAGCGAAACAGCGGTGGCCAACCCAATAGCGATTAGCGATGGCCTCCAACCATATATAGTTAATTACTAGCGATAGCCTGCAAGCTAATAACGATGGCCTCCAACAACCTAATAGCGATTAGCGCCTAAAACTTACTAGCGACGGCCTCCAACCTACTAGCGATGGCCTCCAACCCAATATTTAATAGCGATTAGCGATGGCCTCCAGCCTACTAGCGATGGCCTCCAACCTAATAGCGATTTTGCCATGGCCTCCAGCCTACTAGCGATTGCCTCCAACCTGATAGCGATGGCCTCCAACCTATATAGTAGCGATGGCCTCCAACCGAGTAGCGCAACTTAAGTAGCAATGGCCTCCAACCTAGTAGTGGGTAGCGATGGCCTCCAACCTAAGGAAAGGAGAAGAATCAGAGGAGGAAGGTATGGTGGTGTAAGGCAAGGGTTGTCTTAGATTCGTAGCCCCCTACCTCAAGACATGTCATGTTGGAAAAACCCGGCGCAAAGAACCAGAATCCATCAGAAGCGTTGAATGCAGATCTGACTTTGCTGGGCTTCCAAGCCAAATCCAGATCCCTTCTGTGCAGGCATCCATGCCTCCCTTGAAGCGGAAGCCCTGCCAACGGCAGATCAAGACCGATCCCAAGGAGATCTCCCCAACCACTCACGTGATTCACATGGCTTCACGTTGGTGCGGCACTTGGGGGGGGGACGTCGACGAAAAGAAGACTCTGCAAGTCCATCCGCTCTGCACACGTTCGGCTCCGCCTGCACCGCAACGGCCAACGGCACCTGGTGGTGCGCCCCAACCCGCCTCGGAGTCATCACTGGCTCCCTCCAAGGCGGCGCCCGCGGCCGTGATCTGAGCGCGAAGAGGTTCCCAACGCCCAGTACAACGGCCCGGAGAGGTTCAGGAGCCACTGGGCTATGAGTTGCTCATCTTGGACATGCCGCAGACATGCCCATGGTGATCACTTGCTACACACCTAACGCCTCTCTCCGCGCTAGCTGCTGCGCTCCGGACCCAGCTGGGCAGCGGAAACTCCTCGTCGCCGCCCCGCGCTGGAGCCTCGGCCTAGGAAGGTGACAAAGGGAGAGACACACCTCTCCATGAGTGCGCTGTCTGAAGTGCGTCCCAAGTGCGCCGTCTGAAGAATCACTCGTTTCATCGTTTCCGTCCAATCAATCGTTTAGAGCACGGATACAAGAATACCATCACCTTGTTTTCGAACCGGCCGGTTCGTCACCCTTTTTTCTCACTTGAGAAACGACACAGACTTGAAAGCGACCCTCACAACACCAAACAAGAGGTCTTCTCGTCGTCTTCAGAAAGGGCACGTCTATTACCTATGGGCGCTTAGCCGTCAGACCCCATCAGACTCCTTTCTTTTGCTGTAGAAGCAGTACAGTAGGGCGCTGGGCTGGGGGGTGCTCTTTTTTCTATTCTCCGAAAGTTGCTGACCATCGCAGTCGAGGGACAACCATCAGTCAGGTGCCGGCCCACGTCACATGTCCCACGCGTTTAAAAAGAAAACTGGGCCCTAGGGCCCTAGGAAGGAACTCGAAGTGTCTGAGAGTTCTTGCCAGGCCATCAGGCCAGAACGACTCCAGAGGCGTTATCGGTGCACTGATAATGCACGTTCTTCCTTTTCTCTTTTGGCCGACCTCCCCCCTCATACCTGATAAATGCTAATAGCAATGGCCTCCAACCTCATGATGCACCGGAGTCACCTTCCATCTTCACTTTCTCCTAAGAGCCTACATTCTCCATCCTTCTCCGTTCGCTGGGCACCAACTCTTGCCATCCAAAGCCCCTCCGACCTGGCTTTCTCTCCCGCTTCGGGCCCGCTCCGGCCTGCGCCGCCTCAGCGGCCTCGCTGGGGTGATCGGCCTCCCATCTGAGGAAGCGCAGGAACAGGTCCAGCAGAAACGACCTGAGGCGAGGGCGGCCGCCACGCGCAACGAAACGATCAGGAAACCGCGGCCAAACAGGACATGGTATAGGACTAGACTAGATACATTATAGTTATTATAGATATTTTATATATATATATATGTACAATATTATATGTTTGCAGATGCACAAGACTAGAGCCACCCACCCAATCCACCTATTAAGTCATATTATGTCATCATTCACTTCGAGATACCCCCCGCTTTCGTCGCGTCTTTCGTTTCTTCCTGCCCCGAACCCTGACATCATCTCATTCTCAGTGAACCCGACTTGCCGGTGCGGAAGGCGCCCATGACAGACACCACCGCCACCTGCACGAGTAGATCTGCAGCGTTCCGCGCGTGGAACCCGCGCACGGAACAGTCGGTCAGGTCATCACTGGTCATCTGCGGGGAATCCGACCTCGTCCACCAATGATCGTGCCGGGCCCAGATTCACTCCTTGGGTAGTTGGGTGGTTCTCTTTTCTGTATGCTAAAGAATCTGCAGTCATTATTGTTGTCTCGACATGTTTGTTCATTTTTGGAGTTGAATTTAACAATCTGGATCTTGAGGTCTTATTACCCTAAACCGTGTTTTCTTGCAAATAGTAAGTCCATATAGAGATCCAATTTGATCTGGATGTTCTAGAAATTTTGATTGCTATAATTACGGACGACCTCCCTATTACGAATTAAACACGACTATAGGGTAGATATTCTTCATTCCCGGCCTCCCATGACCCAAAAAGCCCTCACAAAACCCTGGCACTCACTCCCATCGCGGCAAAGGGACTGCTGTAGCGCCCAGCTCTCTCAAGCGCTTTTCAAGTCGGCCTAACCTCAGGACCGGGGGTCGCGTGGTGTCACATGGGGCGGTACGGAGGCTCCAGCAGTTGAGAGAGGTCGCTTTCGCGTTCCAATCTCTTTCGCTCACAATGTCTACCACCATTCTAGTCATTTCTAGTCTAGAGTCTAGGCCCTTCTCCAATCCAAAAAAGGTCCGGTCCAACGCCAGGGGGGCGCATCTTCGTTGACCTCAACTTTCCTCTCTTCCATGTTCAACTGGATCAGCCTCACGAAAGTGCAGGCCGCAAGAATCGTGGGAGAGAAGGAGGCCATTGCTTCTAGGGTGGAGGCCATCGCTCTGAGGGTGGACTAGGGTGGAGGCCATCGCTCTTGGGTTGGAGGCCATCGCTCTTAGGTTGGAGGCCATCGCTACCTGCATGAGGCTGTAGGCTGGACTAGGGTGGAGGCCATCGCACTTAGGTTGGAAGCCATCGCTACTAGGGTGGAGGCCATCGCTACCTTAGGCTGGAGGCCATTGCTACTAGGGTGGAGGCCATCGCACTTAGGTTGGAGGCCATCGCTACTAGGGTGGACTAGGCTGGAGGCCATCGCTAGTAGGTGGTGGTCTACGACCATGTGGATCGCACAGGGATTTTGTGGAGAAGCGAGCATTGGTCGAACTATGTCCAAATGTATCAGAGTTTGAAGAAGGATTCTGATATACCTGATCTTGTGGGTCAAAAAACCTTTGCCCAAAAAAGCGACACATGGTGCTGAATTCCCAAACCACCTTGCCACATGCAAGGGTCCTCATGATCCTCATGATCCTCCAGTTGACGCCCAGGGACTGCAAGGGTCTCCCTGGTTGACGCGCCGCCATGGCTCACCTCAGAGATGTTCGGACGGCCAGCTGGAGAGGTGGAGAGGAAAAGGTCAGAGACGTGGAGAGGTGCAGAGGTGGATGTTCCACCCTGACGCACTCGGTGCATCCCTCGGTCAAACCTCTGGTCACGCGCACGTTCGTCGGATGATGCGGACCCCGGTCCGAACGAGACAAAGGGCGCGTCCGACGCGATGGAAGACACCGGTGGAGCAGCGCAGAAAAACCTCTGCGCTGGGCTGAACAACGAAGCAAGCATTGGTGCGCTTTCACCTACTTGCTGCTAAACCTAGATTCCAGATCTTTCCGTAACAATGACGTTCACTCACGTGACCTTTCCAAACCTCCTTCAGCTAGGTTGGAGGCCATCGCTCTTAGGTTGGAGGCCGTCGTTAGTAGGGTTGACTAGGGTGGAGGCCATCGCTACTATGTCCCACCGTTCCACCTGCAAATTCTAAGGCCCTCCACCTCCTTCAGCTGTAGCTTTGGCTGGAAACAGGCTCACACCACGCGGCGCGACGCGGCACCGCCCCTGTGGGGGCAACCGGAAAATACGGCCACCCTGCGGTGGCCCTCGAGCGAAACCACGGGAAGTCCAAGCGCCGGTCGAGTCCAGCGAAAAACCGAGGGACAGCTTGGAGATCCTCACAGAAACCTCACTTTTAAGTGTGGGAGAACGCTCATCTGCAAATGAGTTTGTGCTCTCCAAAAACTGGTTCTTGGAGCTTCACACAGCATGGCATCAGCATGATCGAGGCGCCTTACATCCACCTGGTGTACGTTGTTATGAGTCATCTGTATAGGCAATAGATCTGGCCTTTACACTTTCAGGTGAAATCCCCGAGTGTGTGTGTGTTCCTTTGTGTTCGGATCAGGGGATTTGTTGAGAACATCAGAGGGTTTCGATCTATGAGATGGTGATCTTCAATAGCAGTCTCACTTAGTGGAATGAGTCAAGCACAATATAACATATATGATCATATATGACTGTATATATGATATATCATATCAATCATATCATATCATATCATATATCATATATCATATATCATGTCATATCATATATCATATATCAGATATTATATCATATCATATCATATATCATATATCATATCACATATCATATATCATATATATCATCATATCAAATGTTATAATGTACAGTCATACAGTATGATATGTCTTCTATACAGCATATGTGTCCCGGTCGTTCCTGGTCATTCCGAGCCTGAAAAAAGGACCCCTTTTGCCAAGCACAGGAGGATGCGACGATGGGGCTGCGGGCGCTCTGGCATTTTGTCCGAATCAATCCATGCTCACTTGTTGCAATGGTGTAAGGGCAAGGCCTGCTGCGAGTGCTGGCTGTGGGTCATGGCGGTAATGGGTCAAATTGGAATGCTCATCCCCCTCAACGCCCATCACCCGATTGAAGCATCCAAGAGGTGTTGCCATTCTTCGACCCATCCTGACGACTGCGAGGGATATGAGGGTAGTTCTATCCAGGAAGCCCTTGAACTGCGCAGCTGAAGCAAAATAGGGAGCACACAGTGACGTAGTATGCACCCCAACCTGTTCGAGCAAGCGCTGGGCCAAGAGCGACCATGAGCTGCTGAAAGGGTCGAAGACCTCGGGAGATGCGTGAAACGTTTGGGCAACCTATATATGGTAACCTAATAGCAATGGCCTCCAACCTAGTAGCGATGGTCTCCAACCTACTAGCGATGGCCTCCCTAATACTTCCTTCCCGGCAACAAAGACCCGACGAATTCCAAGAAGCTCCGATTGCGACCCGGCTCTGGTGGGTCGATCCACCGAATATTTGAGCCTCTTGAGAAGCTCTGAACTCTAAACTCAAGGGAATAGTGTCACCATGTCGTCACCCGCTCAAGTGGCGTGATGTCAAAGTGGCACAAAACGTGGCACCCTTCGGAAAGCGTCAGAATACCCTTCTGACAGGTCCAACCTTTTTAGTCATCTTCCCTCTGGCTTTAGTCTGCGCCCGGCCTCCCGGCTCTCCGCCAAGCCCCTTGGCCGCCTCGCCTCAAAGGGGATCCCGCGAGACAGCAGCGCGTTACGCATGGTCTCGTCGGGCAGGGGCTTTGCGAGGTGATGTCCTGAAAGACGGCAGTGGACGGTCATCGCTAGTAGGTTAGAGGTTGGAGGCCATCGCTAGTAGGTTGGAGGCCACCGCTATAGTAGGTTGACCGCTAGTAGGTTGGCGGCCATCGCTAGTAGGTTGGAGGCCATCGCTAGTAGGTTGGAGGCCATCGCTAGTAGGTAGGCCATCGCTACTATGAGCTTCGTTATAGGTTGTGGAACATGTATGTGTATTTATAAGTCCACTTGCAGAACATGCAACGGTACTTACAACTTCCGCAACTTCCACAGCTTCCACCGGAACTTGTGGAAGTTAAAAGTTCAACGCATAAGTTCAACTTAACTTATGTTAACTTAAGTTGTGGAAGTTACGCGGCACATACGCGGAAGTTATAGAAACCTTTGAAAACAGCTTTTTCAATATCATGTAGAAATCTGCCTATTTGTGCATTTCTATAGTGGCTTTTGGGCTCAAAACGCACTTTCAACCTGGTGTCCGAGCAAGACTTGAAGCATGTCTTTGGCGGATGCACAGAAAGGCCGCAGAGCCATGGAGTCCTATGAAAAGTTCTCCCAGTTGTTGCCTGGCAGCTGGCACTCTGTGGGAGCGTGTGCGGCAGACCCCACACCAGGGAGATCGGATCTGTTGTGGGAACGTTAGGTTTGTGGCATGTAGTGAACGTCCGCGAAACGTCCGCGGATGTCCGCGGGGATTTGGTTGCTTATCAAATTAGACAAGGGCAGACGTCCGCGGAACGTCCGCGGCCTCCCGGGGCGTAGCTTGAAATTTGCACTTTTGGACATGTAGCTTTTGGGCTCAAAAGTACTGTTTGTGGAGACGCTTTCTAGATCTCAGACACATGACCGCCGTGGACAGAATGGAGACACAGGTGGACCCGCAGGAGACACAGGTGGACCCGCAAAAAAGTGGTGGAAACCACAAGCTGAAATTGAAATCACGGTCGCTGCTTGGTGGTGTTTTGTAGGGTCAGATGTGTGTTGCCTGCATTAGTTCAAAAAAAAGACTGCTCGAGCGCTGCTTCTGACGTCTAAAACATATAAATACGAAAAAAACATAACTTACGCGGAAGATACGCGGAAGTTAGTATCTTCTGCGTATCTTCAACTTGATAACTTCCGCAACTTCACTTATATCTTACACAACTACACTTATATCTTACACAACTTATAACAAAGCTCATAGTAGTAGGTTGGAGGCCATCGCTAGTAGATTGGAGGCCATCGCTAGGGCATCCCGAGTAGATTGGAGGCCATCGCTAGTAGGTTGGAGGCCAGCTAGTAGGTTGGCGGCCATCCCTGCCTAGTAGTAGGTTGGAGGCCATCTCTGCTAGTAGGTTGGGGGCCATCGCTAGTAGGGACGCCATCGCTAGTAGGTTGGAGGCCAGCGCTAGTAGGTTGGCCATCGCTCTTAGTATTAGGTTGGAGGCCATCACTCTTAGGTTGGAGGCCATCGCTCTTTGGTTG